TGGGCTGGGCTGGGCTGGGCTGGGCTGGGCTGGGCTGGGCTAGAAGGGGGACCCTTCCACTTAAATATTGCCACAGCAGCTTCCTGAACCCCCTCATCAGCAGGGTTGTCCTGAGGCAAGGCCAAAGCCCAGAGTTCTCATTCCAGTTTTATGTCCCTCCATGATGTCAGGTGACACCATGGAAGGTGCCAGTGCTTGCTCTCGGTTCTGGCAGGGCTATTTGGTGATGAGTCACTGTAGGGTGTTTTTGGAGCTGGATTCAAACCTCCAGCTGCCTCACTTCCCAGCAGCCTCAAAAGCACCGTGGGATTCAGTTGCTCCTGCCTGGGCTTAGCTGAGAGGATGGCGACAGAGTGAGCCAAGTCTGAGGATAATCCCTCAGCCCGTCCCACAACTCCAGGGCCTTTAATCCTTTTGGATTAAAAAGAGAACTCTTGGACATGTACTTGAGAGCCTGAGGAGGCAATGGGTGTATGGGTTAGGCCATGCCCACAGTGCTTGCTGGCACAGCTCCCGAGTCCAGCAAGGCAGAGAAAAACCAAAGAGCAAAAAAGCTCTGGGGATGGAGGAGAAGCCAAGAGCTGGGAGGGAAATGCAGCCTCAGGTCCATCCAAATGAGTGAGCCCAGCTGGGAATAGGCCACAACCTCTTGACATTTCAAGAATTTATTGAGGTCTTTTGCAAACGGATATAAGAAAGAAACTAATGGGATGAGAGACTCCAAAGGCAAGGAGAGGCAGATGACATGCCCACCATAACTCAGCATTGAAAGCACAGATGTGAGCATAAATAACTCTTCAAGGCTGGCCCTGGCAGGGTGTCACCTCCCACATGACACCAGGAAAGGGTGAGAAAGAATAAATTTGACAAACTCTTTTTTTGGGCAGTTTGAAATGAAGGAAATACTCAACAGTCACATGTACATGGGACGATAATAAGAAATGTGAAAGGCAGAGGAAAGGGCTGTGACATCTTGGGTGAATTTAAATCAAATCTGCCCAAGGGAGACCATTCCAGTTGGAAAGAGATCTATATGGATGAGTTCCTGGGATGGGGATGGATCCTGCCTGGGGTGGGAGCAGGATACAAGGCCACAGGTCCCCAAGGTCTGCCAGTCTGGCCTCCTCAGTGAGCCAAGCTGGGCTTTGGGAGCACAGACACACGTGCTGTGATCCGCCAGCATGGAGATTTCCTCAGTTAACGGGAAAAGCTTATGGGAGATTTGAGACACATGAAAAGAATAACTGTGGCAGCAGCAGGCACAGCTCCCGGAGCATTGGAGGTGGCTTTTCCTGCCCTGAACACAGCAATTAGCTCTGGCCCTTCCCAGCCCAGTGCTGCTGTGTTTTCATTTGGGTGATGGAAACATTTTTAGAGCTTATCTATAAATCAAAGCCTGGCCCACACCCTCAGCTGTAGCTGCGGTCACTTGGCTCTCTTGATGAAGGAAATACTTGTCTGTCATGACACTGCCGCTAGACTTCTGCAAACTTCTGCTCCTCACCCCGGAAAATGGTGTGGGAAAGAGGACAAGGGAGCTGTGCAGTGCTGCACTATTTCTAGGATTTGAATTCTGGAAAAAAATCCTCCAGAAAATTATTTCAATGTGTTTTCTCCCCCCATTTTTTAATTTTTTTTTTTTTTTCCTTGCAATGGTTTGAAATGAATTAGTTTTCTAGGTCATTTTGCATGGAATCAGAACAAGGATCTACAGCTGAACCCACAAAGGAAGGAAAAAGCACACACACACTCTCTCACACAAGGCAGTGGAGAGAAACGCCAGGCAGGAGCTGCCAGCTTGCAGGCGGCCAAAAAAGCAGACAGGAAAACCAAACCGGGGCCATCAGCAGCGAGAAACTGGGACACTGCAGCCCCATTGGTGTCAAATTTCAAAAGCCCATGTCTTACCACAGACACATGTCTCGGAGCTCTGTGCTTCGCAGCACTAGCGTGGGGTTCTGTGTTCCCCTTGAAGCATGAACTGAGCTGCCATGAATGTTAACGCAGAGCCAGCTGGGGCAGTGGGAAGGGGATTGGGCAGGAATGACCCCCTGGGAGCTCCCACCTGGGCACCAAGGAGCTTTCCACCTCCTGAGGAACATGGACATGGCCAAGTGGGAGCTGCAGCCCCTATGGAGCTGCGTTCATCCTGCTAAGGACCCCTCCTGCCTGGAGAAGGGACCCAGCAGCGCAGACTGGCCAGCAAGAGGAATAATCCATTAGGATGGGAAGTGGTTCCCAGCCATGAGCAGCCAGCAGTGGGTCTGGCCAGCACGGCCAGATGACACTGCAGGAAGGAGAGGTTGGCTGCTCTGTGGCAGAGCCCAGCTGAGCTTGTTCCAGAGTGGCTGCCAAGCCCTGTCTCGTGAGAGAGTTTCACAGGCTCACGGGATGTTGTGGATCAGTGTTTTAGCACCTCTCATACTGTCTCCCAGCAGTGGGTGTCCCAGCACAGCACTCACTTGTGGGTTTACCTGGCTGCAGGGCCATCTACATGGTTTAAATTAAGCCAAAGGAAATCCCAGTATGCAAGTCTCTGCTTCAACGTCCTGAGCATTTCAGCATTTAGCAGCGTCTCCTCCCCTGAGCTCACTCTATGCTCTGGGGTAGCTATTTTTGAGTGAGAAAAGGTGTCTGGCACCCTGAGGAAACCTGTCACTCACCAGATGGCACCTGGAGGCAGGAGGGAGCCCCCTGGTCCCCAGGCCAGGCTGGGGCAGCCCAGGGACCCCACACAGCTCCCACCGGGTCAGGGTAACCCGCAGAGGCATGGCACAGCCCTGTGCCATCATGGCCAGCCAGCTGAGCTCCCTGAGCAGGGCAGAAGGCCAGCAGGGATTTCCTTTGCCAAATTAGAGGTTAAGCAGAGATGGGAGCTCGGTGGGATCCAGGAGGCACTGGCTTCCCCAGCTGCCTCTGTGTGGCCCCACAGCCGGCGGCCTGGGCTGCAGCTGTCACTGTGTCCCCCTCTCCTGTCCCCCACATGTCCTCTCTTTCCCAAGGGTTTTAGAGGAGTAATGTCCAGGGGACTTCTGTGCTCTGCCCTGCCTCAATGTCCCCTCTGCCCGGTCTAACCTGGCAGAGCTTGTCCAAACTCCTCCTTGTCCCAGCCTGGCACACTTGTTGCTGTCCCCAGCATAGACAGCATTGCTCAGAGGCAATGCAAGCCACTCCCATGCATAGAAAGAAGGAAAAAAAAGAAGGGAGAACAGCAGGGAGATATTTGAATCCAGTCCCACCAGCAGCTGAAGTGTTCCTGTGCTACGCTGGAAGGTTTTGGCTCTGGCTGGGTTTCAGGGAGCAGCTTTACAACAGCTGGGAAAGGGGCAGGGAGAGGGGGGCTTGTAGCACACTTCAGCTCCAGGTTTTGCTGTGTGTTTTCTGACACATGTGCTGAGCTGAACTCCTGATAAGACATTCAGCCCTCCAGTAAATAAGCCACCAGTGGCCCAGCCTTCTTCAGTTTCTCCTCCCAGAGCCAAGACTTCAGTTCCTGGGAAGGTCCAAGTCTGTGACAACCTGTGGGGAAGCTCCAGTGCTCTTCCCAAGGGCCAAGCACCGACCTGGTGGGTCTGGATACCCAAGCCTGGCAGTGCCCCATCCTATGGTGGTGTCAGCACTGAGGTGGATGCAGGCAGGGCAGCTGGGGACAGGTTACAGAAGGCTTGAGGTGCTGGAGCCCCAGCTGTGCAGAACAATGACCCCGGTGCCTCTGCCTCTCTGGGTGCACATCACTTGGTGGGGAGCGATTTAACACATGTGGAGTTTCTGGTCGCTGCTCTCTGAGAAAGGAAATGTCTCTCTCCTGCTCTTCCCTCCCCAGGCTGGGTCTCAGCTCCAGCCTTGGCACTCTTTCCTTTCCCAGCTGGTGCAAAATGCAGACAAGGAAATGGAATAGGTGGAGGAGTGGAAAAAGCCTTGCCAGGACAGCTCAGGTTTAACAGCAAGGAGAGGCAGAGATGGTGAGTGCTGGGACTTCTGTGCCTCGCTCTGCTGGGAAGGGGCAGGAGGGCAGGACCCAGAGGCTGGAGGGTCCCCTGTGTCCCCTGGCTCCCAGAACAAGGGACCCATGGGTGTCCTCCCAGCCCCAGCAAAGGGCTTCACTTCCCTGCTGAGCCTCTACCCGTGTCCATCCTGTCCTTTTGCACTGGGTTAGAGATCAAAATGGTCCCTCCATGCTTGGCCCAAAGTGTTTTGGACAGCAGCACCTGCAGCTGTGCCAGGCAGCTCCCAGGAGTTCTGACCCTGAGGGTAGAGGATGACAACTGCTCTGAGGTGCCATGTCCCCTCCCCACTGCCCCGTGTCCTCCCACAGTCCCACAGAGTACATCCCTTACCCAGGTACTGCCCTTTGCCTTCACGGAACGGAGGTCCCAGGGGTCCCTTCACCATGGGCTGCATGTACTTGACTTGAGCGTAGCCCCCCACGCCGCCGCCTGTGGCTGAGCGAGGGCCCAGAACCATCACCATCATCCCCAGCATCAGCAGCAGTACCACGACGTCTGGCAGCATCCTGCTCCCACGGCTCCTGCAACAGTGACAAAGCAACAGTGAGACTGGGTACACACCCCCACCTCACCAGGACCAGCTGGAAATCCCCGTGGGAGAAGGACTCCCTTGAATTTGCATTTTTGTGGCTCAGAGATCATGCTGCCCATCCCGATACACCACAGCTGGGAGATGCATGGTAAATACAGTTTATAGAATGGAATCCCAGAATCACTGAGATTGGAAAAGACCTCCAAGACCATTGAGGCCAACCTGTGACTGATCCCCACCTTGCCACTAGCCCCAAAACACTGAGTGCCACATCCAGTTGTTCCTTGGACACCTCCAGGGATTTGGAATCCACCACTTCCTTGGGCAGCCCCTTCCAATGTCTCACAGCCCGTTCCACAGAGAAATTCTTTCTGATGTCCAGCCTGAACAACCCCTAGCACCGCTTGAGGCTCTTCCCTCATCTTGCACTGTAACCAACCACGGGAGTGCCCAGTGGAGTCTTACAGAAGCTTCCCTGAGTGTCTGTGGTAACTCTCACATGCCTTATACATTTTTAACAAATATAAGAGGGGGGAAAAAAGGCAGATGAGACCTGCAGCCCACTGATCCCAGCATTGCTGTCACATCCCTCAAGTGAGCAGGCCCCTGTGAGAGGCATAGGCTGCCACTGCCAAGCCCTGCCTTCCCTGGGGGCAGTCAGTGGGGGCTGAGGCTCCCAGGTGGGTGCTGGGCCAAACCCTCAATGTGGGAGCCAGAGACTTGCTGCGTTTGTGGCTCAACTGTGGCGCTTCACAGGCAGTGCTGGGAACTTGCACTGAGGATGAGGGACAGGACATGGGAGCAGCCTTAAGTGCCTGTTTATTTAAAATAAACTCCCTTTATAAATACTCTCTTCCTCTAGCAACTCTCCCTGTCAGCTGCATGTGCAGAGCTGCAAACAGATTGATTTGCAAAGAACATTTATTTTTAGAAGCTTAAACAACACATGACGCCACAGAGCTTTGTGCTGCTTTTCCTCCTTTTTGCAGTAATTGACCTGTGGTGGTTATTAATGAGAATTAAGCTCTTGGCCTGTCCTGCCGGGGAGCAGGGGCAGGGCTGCTGCATGCCGGGGTTTCATTGGAATTTCCTGAATCGCTTTTGCTGAAGCAGCAGTGAAAAAAAAAAAAAAAAAAGCTGCAGCTGAGAGAAAAAACAACCCAAATTAAAACAAAATTAAAGCAAATTAAGTCAAGGGAGCAGGGAGCCCTGGCATGGGATTGTTCCTGACACCACAAGGGCTTGGCAGGTTTTTTGGAGTCTCCAGGGAAAAGGCAGCCTTGACAGCTGCTCCTGTGCCTGGAAAATAGTCTGGGAGTCAGCTGAGGGCTGGAGGGGACAGGGATGGCCCTACCAGCAGCACTATGGACCCTGTGAGGATGCGGGTGACAGATGCTGGAAGAGGAGCTCTGTCTTGCCCATCCCACCAGAGCCATGGGCCTGGAGCGGTGCCATTCCCATTGAGACACCCGGAGCCAAGGCTGTGGGTCGGGTGGCACTGCCAGGGACACGAGTAACAGCCAGCCCTGGCCTCCTTGGCAGCATGGCCAGAGCCTCACCGTCATTATTGTTTTTCTGTCTTCAGGGTCGAGGAGAAGAACGCTTCTTTTTATGAAGCATTATTTTACAAGGATTTGTTTAAGGGGGAAAGAATCCCATTTTAAGGGATTGCAGCTGTAAAAATACAGTTTCTGTTAAATAAAAGAGGAGAACAAACCCCTGAATCAGCTATTTACTTGTTTTCCTTACCTGGTATGACCTCTGTGCCTCCATCTCTACCTCCCTCCCTTCCTAGCTCTCTCCTCTCCCACCTGAGCTGGATTCACCCTGCTCCTCCCCTCCACTGGGTTGTTTTCTCAGGATGCTGCCATAGGAGTAGCACCCAGGGGTGGTTCAGCCCCTTGCTACTGGGCACTGCATCCTCCTTCTGTGAGACCTCAGCCCTCGGTGAGATGTGGGATGCAGGGAAAATGGAGCCAGAGTGAAGGGGGAGAGAGGACAAGGGAATCTGAGCACGGTTTTGTTGTGTATTGGATGTGAAACTGAGTTCCCTGCTCTGTGTCCTCTGCCACCCCCTTGATTCAGCTGGGTCATTCCAGCTGCCCCAGTCTCTGCAGAGCAACAGGGGGAGCCTGGCCTGAGCCCCCTAGGTAGATATTCCTCAAAAAAAGGGGTCTCCTGTGCTGTGCTGTCCCCACCGGCCATGCCTGGCACTGAGGCCTCCTGCTACTCGCACTCTCCAGGCAGTGATTTAAAAACAATAAAATGGAAACATCTGGAGTCTCATATGATGGATAAAGTGTGCACAACGTGCTTGTGGAGAGGATCTTTCATGCTTGAAATCTCCTGTGTTATGAATTGATAATTAATCACACGGAGCAGCCACACGACACTCCCATCTCACCTGGCAGGTTGCGAATGGTGGCCAATCCACTATGTGTATGGGGTGGCTACAGACAGACAGACAGAGAGACAGACAGACAGGGGTCACCTGCCCATCCTCCTGAGGGACACCTGCCCATCCTCCTGGGGGTCACCTGCCTGTCCTGGGGTCTGGGATCAAGAACTTGCTCTTACATGGCAAACAGAAACCCCACAAGATTAATTTTTTTTCCCACGTGGAGCAGGAGGGATGCTTTGGGGGTCCCAATTGTAGCCCCTCCTGACTCACTCTACTCTGCCTGGGCACTGCCACCAGGCTGGGCACAGAGGCAGCTCCAGCCCCCACCAGCATACTCCAGTATGAGCAAAACCATTCCTCGACACAAAGCCAAGCCCAGCAGGAGCTGCTGAGCCAGGAGGGTTCATACAGGGGCAGCACTTGAGGGGTCCATGCTGTTCTCTGGGGATGCTGGAGCAGGATGGGGCCCAGCAACACCACTCTGCTAGGCTCTGGGGAGAGCAGGGCCCCGACCCAGCACTGAGACCCCTGGCATGGCTTCAGAGCCGCCGCCGCTGCCATGCTGATGGTGCAAGTGTCAGCTCCCCTGGCAGGTGGCGAGCAGACGTGTTAAAAACCCCTGGCATGCCATGAAAGCACTGGGAACAGGGAAAAAATCTCACACTTAAAACATGAGAAAAGATACAAGAAATGACACCTTGTTCTTGCAGGAAAACAACTAGTCTGTGCTGCCTTCGTCGCTCCAGAACTGCTTGTGGCTTGTGCTGGGCAGCCTGGTGAGCTCCCAGTGTGTTCCTGGCATGCTCCTGGTCATTCCCAAAGGAAGAAGGCTGCTGCCCCCCAGTGTCCCACTCTCCCCACAGAGCCCATGTCAGCACTCTCATGCCTGTGGACTGGGCAATGTTCCTGTGAACACCATGGCCTCGCTTCCCCATGGACATGGCCAGGGCTGTTGGCTGAGCTGGGGCTGATTTATGGCCCCTGTTACTTAAATATTAATGAAGGGCCTGGCCGGCCCTGCGCCTGCTCTCTTTGAGGCTAATTATTTTTTAAGTCAATATATGTGATCCACAGGGGATCTGCCATTGTGACTAAAGGTCGACACAACAGGGAACTTGTTTAAACCCAGCAGTCAAAGCGTGGTCAGTTTGGGGCACAGCATGTGCTTGCTGGCACACACCCCAGCTCTGGCCCCACATCCATCCCAGGGCCACACCAGCCCCGCAGAGGGGCTCAGGGATGAGGCAGAATGGGGAATTTGGTGCACTTCAATTGCATCCCAGGCTCACTGGTGAGGCCTCATCCCATCCTGGTTTCTGTCCCCATGCCCATTGCTCCGAAGCACCGGGAGCAGCCGGCGCGTGTGGGTGGGCTGGAGCAGGCAGGCTTGGCTGCCGCCGTGTCCCATCGAGCTGCTCCATCCTCCGGTCATTTACAATAAAAAATAAAGCAGGGAGGATTTCCAAGCCCAACACGGGGCTGGCCCGGGTCCAGCAGGAGGTCGATGATTTGCTTTGCGCTACACATGCTTTAAAAATAATAGTAAACCGAGTCAAAAACGAAAAGTGAGCTATGAAGAGGGAGAGCAGCACGTTGTTTCCGCAGGCCGGGCTGCGAAAGCCAAAGGCATCAGGGAGCAGCTCGGCTGAGCAGCACCGGAGAGCGGGGGAGACATGGCACCAGCCTGTCCTTAACTGCATGACACCTGATCCCATCCAAGGCTGCTGGACGCGCTGCCGGAGCCGGAGCCGGAGCTGGAGCCTCGCTCACCAGCAGCCCAGGGAACAAGAAAACATTTTCCTTGACGAAGAAAAAACGCCCCACCCCATCTGCAGGGACCTGTTCCCCCGCACAGTGCCCGCGCCTGGCCCTGAATGGAGCAGGATAGGCACGGCACAGCCTGGCACGGCATGGCATGGTACAGCATGGTACAGCCTGCTATGGCACGGCATGGCACGGCATGGCACGGCATGGCATGGTACAGCCTGGTATGGCATGGCATGGAATGGTACAGCATGGCACAGCCTGGCACAGCATGGCATAGAATGGCAGGGCATGGCACAGCATGGCACGATACGGCACAGGATGGCATGGAATGGCACGGCACAGTACATCATGGTATGGCATGCTACAGCATGGCACAGCCTGGCACGGGATGGCATGGCATGACCCAGCATGGCACAGCATGGCACAGCCCAGCAGGTCATGGCACAGCCTGACACAGCCCAGTAGGTCATGACACGGCCCAGCACAGCATGACGGTGGTGCAGGCTGCCCATGGCTCACACTGCCTGGAGCTGGGGATCCCGGGGCTCCTGCAGCAGTGCCAGCATCAGGGGCGGTGGCAGCGTTGATCCCGGCCGGGTCAGGGCTCAGCTCAAGCGGATTAGTGACCCCGGGCGTGTGCGCCGGGAGCGCAGCCGCCGGTCATGGCTCAGGGCTTAATCCCTCACCTCCAGCTGTCAAAACTCTTCGGAAGAGTGGAGAGCACCGGCGATCGCTGCCGTGGGGCTGAGGCCTTCCCTGCAGAAGAGTGGGCACTGCCAGGCCCAGGCGGAGACCCCCAGGTCTGGGTGGAAAAGCCTGGTTTGGAGCTGCAGGAACATCAGGCTCCTGCCTGGGGCAAGGCTCAGCCATCATCCCTGTCGTGCTGCAGTTCCCTCACTGATATACAGCTGGGAAGTTGCCCACGGAGGTGAGTGAGACCCAAAGGATATGTTCCCCCTTGCCCTGGCCCCGGTGGAGGGTTTCTGCACCCCAAATCCCTGGTCCCATCCCCCCGCCAGCCTCCACTCCACCGAAATACCAGAGCTGCAGCATTAATAACAGGGTTC